CTGTCTCAAAAAAATAAAATAAAATAAAAAAAAGAAAAGCACAAAAAAATATTTTTAAAGCTAGTTTGAAATAAAGCAAATAGTAGTAAGATATTCACTTGATGGAGAGGTATGGGAATCCTGGCTTCTGCTCCATACTGTTCTGTATTTGTTTTAACTATTTACATGCATTTTTTTTTCCAATAAAAAAAATCACAATGAAGAGGGGAAATTCCTTAAGATCAGTTATCTGGGAAGGTCGTAAGCCAAAGCTAAATTTGTAAGGTCACCTATTGGACTAGTCAGCAAAGATGTTCTGAGCTCAGTGCCTTGTTCTGTAGCTGATATGAGTTGTACAAGTGAATCATGTCCCCTGTAGGAAGTCTGGGAATAATTCATAGTTGGCCCACCAAGTATTCTTTGCCAGTGTCCTCCTTGTTGCTATACAAAACGGGGAAGGTTGGGTATGTGCTGGTAGCAACAGTGAGAGTATAGTCTTCCTGCCTACACAGGTTCCCTTTAGAGAAAGACTCTTGTTTAGCTCTGCTGCCGTGGGGTGGAAGGAGGACTTATCTCTGGCAGAGGCAGGACTGGCTGCAGTCAGGAGCTCTAGCTCGCAACGCTTAATACACAGGGCTGATGTGGAGAGTTGGAAGCCTATGTGCTTCTACGCATGTTTGTTTCCAGGGAGTGTAGTCTAGTGCTCTGCCACATGAAGTATGGTTACAGCAGCATTTGGTGTCACCTGAGAGCTCTGTAAAAATGTAGAAACATAGGCTCCACCCCACACCTAGTGAATCAGATACTGCTTTTTATCACAATTCCCAAGGTGATTCATATGCTTATTAAAGTTTGTGAGGCACTGGTGGAGTACAAAAAGCTCAGGACTAGGAATCTAGGGAGTTGCGATGAGGTCCTGATTTTGCCACTAACTTGTAGTAGAAACTTAGGAAAAAAATCACAGTGTTTCTGAGTGGACTGTGTCCTCATCTACAGAGGGAGGAAGCTGTTGTAGTATACTTGAAGGTTTCCTCTAGCTCTAATACTGCAGATATATATATATGGATGTTTCTAGTTTGTGGTCTGACAAGGGAGGGGACAACAGCAACAGCACCCTTGGACCCAGCCACTGCTGCCGAGCCAAATGCAAGCCCACTACTATCTACCTGAGGTTGCATATCCCCCCCACGGATCTGGCTCCTTTTTCCTTACCTTCTGGTCCAGACGCTGGTAGTCACTGGCCTTTGGCCGTCGAGTGACTTTGGATTTTTTTCCTTCCAGGACAAAAGCAATAATCTGAGGAAAGGTAAAAGAAAATGATTCACAGGTGGCTCTGTAATGACATATTTCAGTCTCTAAAGTCAAAGGTAGTCACCTGGTAGTAGTATATCTGTTAATGATTCTGACTATAGAAAGAGCAGTACACCCACAAAAAGGCCTACTTAAACTACAAGGATTTTAAGTCAGAATCCTTTATACTACTTAATAGGAAACAACAGATGGAGGGAGGCTGTCTGAGCTCTAGCTTGAGGGCGTCTATATGATTTATTCAAAGGTACTCAGTCAAAGATCTGCCAACTCCTCTCCAGGGCGTTTTTGAATAGGACATTCCATTTTTTAAAAAATCATAATCAGAAATTATTTCCTATCTATAAATGTATTCTTTCATCCCACACTTTGCTTCATCAATAACTATACTCTTAACTTTACCACTCTTCATGGCAAACACTTAGATGTAGAATAAGGAATGCACATTTTTACTAAAGGTTTTCCCCTATTCTTATACGGCCATGATTAAATTGGATTCTCCAATTGTTACTGGGCTACGGAAACTATCTTCTAAATTCTTGGGGCTCAACAGGAGATACAATCATTTTGTCATTAGAGTGGTTGCCAAGGTTACTTCAGACCAAACTCTCCAGAAAAAGTAAAAGATATACGTATGTGTGCAATTTCTGGGCTTTCTTCTAATTATTACTAATTGCAGAAGAGAGTTCCTGGGTTCTTTGCTGTTGGTATCAAAGACTAAGTAACTGAAACCATTCTTTAAGCCACTGAAAATAAAAGAATGTTGGGAAAGGAAGCTAGAAGTGATGCATTGTCTCAAGAATGGAAATTAGGTTGGAGGATAATGGCTCTGTCAAGCACTCAGGTCCACTGAGGCTGTAAAGGATCTAAGTTCAAGGTTATGGGAGGAGATGCCACTTCAGGTCAGATTATAATAACGTCTTAACTTGGCACCTAGTGCGGCAGCAGAGAGCACTCAGAGGAAACAGATGACATAAAACACGATTCACAAGAGTTAAGAGTCCTAGCAGGGTATGAGGAAAAAAATGAAGTTTGTCTTAAAATCCCCAGTGCTCGCAGGCAGATGAGTGATGGATACCCACTCACACGCCAAGCTTCCAGGGTGGAGGAAATCTCATTCCCCTCCCTAAGACAACTCTTGACTTACCTTCCGCTTGTTGTGATAAGCAATATAGAGGACAGCAACAAAAATGGCTGCAGTCACCAGATATGCAAAGAAGTGGCTGCTCTCTGCACTGGCATTTCCAACAGTGTCCCTATACAGGTCATCCTTCTCGCTATTCATGGGATCCAAAAGTATCCCTTCGCGGTTCTCACTGGAGGCAGGGCCAGACATCTTTTCTTTCTCTTCTTTGGGTGGTGAGCCCTCTACAGGCTCTGTATCACCTTCTTCAGCATCTTTGGGCTCCACATCATCAGCAGGCTCTGAAGACTTATCTTCCTCCGGCTTGGAAGTAGTGAGGTCAGGGTCCATTGACACTCTCTCCCCAGATTCAGTTCTGGAAGCATTCGGAGAAATCTCTCCTTCATCAGCTACCTGGTTTATGTTAGAGTTGGGGGAATCCTTGTTATCAGAGGAGGGGAAGGAGATGGGCTTGTTGGAGTTGCCTTTCGTGGGAAGTGAGTCCAAACTTGGCCTGCTGGAGCTTTCTTGGGGAGACGGCTGCTCCACAACTGAGCTGTTAGAGACAGCTTTCGTGGAAGACGAGTTCCGAACGGGTGGATCAGAAAGATGTTCCTTGGTAGGCACCTGGCTCGAGATGGGCTGGATGGAGTCGCTTCCTGTAGGACGTTGACTTACAGTCCGGAGGGACGTACTTTCGGTGGTTGGTAGCGGCATGCGGGTCGGGTCTACAGAAATAAAGAAAACAGTTAGCCCTGGAGAAGGGCAGGCGGGAAGAAGGCATTCCCCAGAACTGGAAGAAATTGGGGGAAACCGGCGAAGAGAAGTGGGGGGTGGGGCGGGGGACGATGGCGAGCAGAGAGGTGGGTTGGGCAGGGAAGAAGCGAGCCCAGATGGCGACCGGGCGAGGAGAGAATGGCTGGCCAGAAGGCAAGAGTGAGACGGGGGCTTGGGGGGTTTACCCGCCGCCGCGAGGCTCAGCAGGACCAACGCAACCAGGAACCGCATCCTGCACGGATTGCGCTTGCGCCCTCTGCCGCTCTCGCGAGATCCGCGCGCGGGGCTCCACACTTGCAGCCACGCCCCTTCCTGCGCGCGTCTCCACCTTGCCCCGCAGCGCCCAGACTAGGGGCGGGACTCGCTAGACCGCCGCTGGGGGGCGTCACTTGTTTGCTGTCTGCTGGTGCGTGCGGCTTTCCCAGTGGAAGGCGAGCCACCTGTTCCTGGTTTCTCTTCTCCATAGCAGCCACAGCAGACTGGCAGTCCGTTTTTCTTTCTGTCCTCCCGTACTTTCGAGTCAACACAAGCTGAGCAGGAGCTCTCTCTCCTTGCGCACCAGCCCATAGGAGTGAGGTCGCTGGGGCCGGGCGCGCCTCTTCGCCCCATCCTCTGCTTGCGTTCTAACCTCTCACTCTCTAGGTGGTTCTTTCCCCGTAGCACATTAACATGCTATCTCTGGTCTTTCCCATCTCCAAAAAAACTCATCACATCACCTACGTACCATTGGCTTTGCATCCCGGCGCTCCTCGCTCCTGACTCCACGGAAACAGTGCTCTCCGAGGTCGCCAAAGAACTTTTCCAAAAAGTTCGTCCTTTTTTTGATAATAAAAGTGTAGAAGTAGAAAATAATACCTTACTTCCACCCTTCCGAGATAACCACTATTAATGTTGTTTTAGTGTATTTTCTGCCCTGCGAATATTTAATGTTTTTGGTTAGGTAATATGGTTAAAAAATCAAAACGGGATTTAAAAATATATAAACGTTAGAAAATCCTTGCTCCTTGCCCCTCCACAGGTTACCATTTATATTAGTTTATTGTGTTTCCATCTAGAATTTTTTGTTTTGTTTTACTTTTGAGACAGGGTCTCACTCTGTCACCCAGGCTGAAGTGCAGTGGCGAAGTCATAGCTCACTGCAGCCTCCAACTCCTGGGCTCAAGCGATCCTCAGATCGTGGAGTTCCTGGGATTACGGAAGTGAGCCATCATGCCTGGCTCTAGTTTTTTTTCTTTTAAACAAATACAAATATACTTTTTCCCTTCCTAATTCATGTATCTTTTCTGTCTTTTTTTTCTATGCATATTCATTTTATCCCCAAATTGGGATTATTGGGTAGTTTTGTATACTACTGTTTACAGTTACTATTATGTTTATACATTAAATGTTGCTTGAAATCATTTTATGAACATTTGCCAAGCTAGCTGCTTTGTAGGTAGTGATTTTAAAAAATGAGTGGATAGGCTGGGCGCAGTGGCTCACACTTGTAATCCTAGCACTCTGGGAGGCCAAGGCTGGTGGATCGCTTGAGGTAAGGAGTTCAAGACCAGCCTGAGCAACAATGAGACCCTGTCTCTACTAAAAATAGAAAAGATTAGCCATGCGTGGTGGCCTGCACCTGTTGTCCCAGCTATTCAGGAGGCTGAGGCAGGAGGATCCCTTTAGCACAGGAATTTGAGGTTGCTGTGAGCTAGGATGACGCCACGGCACTCTAGCCC